TATCTCTCTTCATATGTATGTGTGTTTGTATATATGTCTGTGTCCATTGTGATTGTATCTGTCTATATCTGTCTGTGTGTGCATTTTTCATTTCATTTCATTTCATCATCCTGTTAATCGTCGATTGCCTCGAGCAGGCCCCAGTAACGTCTCTTTCATCCTAGCCCTGAGATTATATTCACGGCTCTTTAGGAGAATGAGACCCATCATTGTTACTGGTATTTGGCATATTTGGTGCGCCACGGGGAGTTTGCCAGACTCTGCCCTGTGGGCAGGCTACATTCGATAGCCTGCAAGTTTGTCCAAAGTAGGAATGAGACAACAAGATGTCATAAAGAAAAGTTCTGATAAGATGTCGCGCAGCCGCGAATGCGGCCGCGCGGTTCCGGGATCTGGATTTTATAGTCTCTGAGTCTTGGGCGTTGATGGGATTACACGGCGCCAGGGGGCCAGGTGGTAGGTGTGACCCCCGCCTACTGGAACTTGGAGGATCTGGGTGGAAGATGCTCGACTCCAATTCGAGTAGGCTTGGAGGTCTCGGCCCCGGAGCCCGCGTGGCTTTGTCCCTCTGCCAGTACCTTCATGTGTGCGGAGAGTGATCTCAGCATGGTGGTGGCTGGTCCTGGAGGTCTTCGGCTGCTGGAGCCCCGGTCGGGGCGGGGAGGAAAGCTCGACCCACTCCCCTTCAAGGGGTCCCGGCGAGGGACACCCAGGCGCGGGGGCAAAAGACTGCACTGTTCTCGTCCGGGATCTGGATTTTATGTGTGCATATTTCAGTATATATGTCTGTTTCTCTGTGTGTTTCTATGTGTGTCTGTGTGTGCATGTTTGTGTCTCTGTATGTCTATGTGTGTACATGTTTGTGTCTGTGGGTGCATTTGTGTCAGTATACAGGTCTGTGTCTGTGCACACAGCTGTGTGTATCTACGTGTATCTCTAAATATGTCTGTGTGTGTGTTTGTGTCTGGCCAAAGGCACAGCAGCAATTTGGGGGTATCTGGAAGTCGAAGGCACCATCAGGCTGCTGATGCACTCGCCCCGCAGGTACAGGCTGACCTGATGGCGCCTTTGGCCAGATCCCAACAACTTGGGGCCAAGTTTACCAAGAGATCAAATGGCCAAAAGTTAGGTCTGTGGGAGACACACCCACAAACCACCTCGGCTTAGCTGTATAAGCTCAAAGCCTCTGCCCCTCTCGGAGAGCCTGGCAAGCTACCGAGGATATCCCACCCGTACAGCAGCCTGGCAAGTTACCCGTGATGTACGTGTATGTCTGTGTGTGACTGCACCTGTCTGTATTTGACTGTATATGTCTATGTGTACGCATGTGTGTGTTCCACTTGTATATGTCTGAGTATCTGTGTATGTCTGTGTGAGCATGTGCTTGTGTCTGTAGATGTCTGAGTGCAAGCACATGTGTTTGTGTCTGTATCCATCTCTGTAATGTGTAAGTAGATGTGTCTGTCTATATGTCTGTGTGTATGTTTGTGTACTTGTGTGTGACTTTGTATTTGTGTGTACGCATGTGTGTGTCTATGCATGTGTGTGTATATCTCTATGTCTGTATATGTCTGTGTGTGCATGTGTTTGTACCTGTGTTTCTGTGGATATGTCTGTGTTTGTCTTTGTGTGTGTGTATGTGTCTATTTCTGTGTGTCCACCTCTTGGGGAAAAAGGGATGTTTCTTCTTACCTACTGAGTCAAGGCAGGAGAAGAGAGATTCATCCAGGGGATCCAAAGGACCGGGGCTCCCGTGACAAGGAAACGGCTGCCTCTTTTCTAAACACTCCGGCATGAGTGAGCCTGCAGTCGCGGGAGAATGCACAGAGACTCTGGCGCACAAACCCCACTGCAAGGAAGGGACACTCAGCACACAGCTTACAGAGCAGCTTAGAAGACGCAATCAAGTGTACAGATGGGGACCAGGGACAGAGTCAAAGTACAGTGGGGAATGTGTGTAGCTTTCTGTATGTCTGCGTGTATGTGTACGCAACTGTCTATCTACATATAAGTCTCTGTATCTATGTACATGTCTGTGTATGCATGCATGTACACATGTCTGTGTATATGTCTCTGTGTCTATATATCTGAGCGTGAGCATTTGTGTCTGTTTATAAGTCTGTGTGTCTTCTGTGTGTGTATGTTTGTGTGTGCATGTTTCTGTGTGACTATGGGTATGTCTATGTGTGCATGGGTGTGTTGTGCGTTTCTGTGTGTCTGTATGTCTCTGTGAGCATGTGTCTGTCTGTGTATATGTGTGTGCACAAGGGCACGTCTTTTTATGTGTGTCTCTGGGTGCATGTCTGTAAATCTGTGTGCTGCATATGTGTGCATCTGTGTGTATATCTGTATGTGATGTGTGTGTTTTGTTTATTTGTTCATGTGTCTGTGCACATGTGTAATGTGTCTATATATACACCTGTGTGTCTGTGTATGTCTGTGCATCTTTGTGTCTGTGCGTACCTCCCAGCGTCCATGGGTGAGCACGGGCATGTGTTGTATATGTCTGTGCATGTCTGATTCTCTATGTATATGTCCTTGTGTATGTGAATGTTTGTTTCTCTGTGTCTGTGTACATATATGTGTGTCTGTGTATATGTCTGTGTGTAACTGTGTGACTGAGTCTGTGTGTCTATGTATGTATCTGTGTGTAATGTGTGCTCTTGATATGCCTCTGTCAGTCTGTGGATATGTTGTGTGTGGGCACACTTGTGTCTGTATATGTCATGTGTCTGCGTGTGCATGTATGTGGCTGAGCATATGTCTTTTGTGTCTATATGTCTGGTATATTTGTGCACATGTATGTGTCTGTGTGTGCCTGTCACTGTGTCTGTATATATATTCGTGTGTCTCTGTATGTCTATCTGTGCCTGTGTACATGTTCTTGTCTGTGCATATTTGTGTGTATGTGTGTCTATGTCTGTATGTAATACATATATACATACATGTGTGTATATACATAACTGTGTGTCTGTGTGTCAGTGTTTTTGTGTGTGCGTGCATGTGTGTTTGGATATATGTCTGTGTCTGAATCTGTGTGTATGTCTGTTCTGTGTCTGCATGTACATGTGTCTGTATATGTCTGTTGTGTTTGTGTCTGTCTTTTTGTGTGTAAGTGTAGGCATCTGTGTATAATTCTGTGTATTTGTGTGTCTGTATATGTTGTGTGTGTCAGTGTTTTTGTGTGTTCATCTATGTCTGTGTATAAGTGTCTGTATATGCCTGTGTAAGTGAGCACATGTGTGTATGCCTATGTTTGTCTGTGTATGCCAATTTTTATGCATGTGAATGTTGTGAATGTGTCTAAGTTTGTGTTGTGATGGTGCTGCATGTGGGTGTGCCTACATACGTGCCATTCTACTATCAGCCAATTTTATTTTTGAAAAGCCGTCTGAAATTATTTCTGACAGCTCCCTGGAAGGTTTACGTACAGTTGGATCAGAGGGGTGCCGAACCCAGGAGGCAAGCTCTGCTGGCGGATCCCAGGATGGCCCCCAGATACCGGCACTCTCTGCGGAAACTCCGACGCCATGCCCAGCTGGGGCAGGCTGGCCGCTCGGCTAAGCGTTAACAGTGCAAGAGTCAAATCTGAATGGTGGGGCTGGAGCGATAGCACAGCGGGGAGGGCGTTTGCCTCGCATGTGGCAGACCCAGGTTGGATTCCCAGCATCCCACTGAGTCCCCCGAGCACCGCCTGGAGTAATTTCTGAGTGCAGAGCCAGGAGGAAGCCCTGAGCATCTCCGGGTATAACACCCCCCCCCCCCCCACACTAAATAATAAAACCGAATAGTTCTAAACATGCCCGCAAAAGGTTTGTCTTGAAACACTCATTCTTTATCCGGCAGCTATGCAGAGGGAAGAAGACAAGGGCTGGAAGCGGCAGAGGGGGAGCCTGCCGTGAGTGGCCGACCTGGGTTCCACCCCAGCACCCCATTATGACCCGGCAGCTGTGCCAGGAGTGACCCCTGAGCACCCCCAGGAGGGGCCCTAAGACAAAACAGAGAAACTTCTCTCCGTGTGACACGGGTCAGCTGTCCTTCCTCGGATGGGGACTATTTCCGCTGCCTGGGACAGGCCGTGCCACAAGCAACCCACCACCTTTTCTTCACAAATCACACAAAAAAGTGGGTGACGCTGCGGCCTTCCGATTGTGCAGCTGACTTGAGGGTCCCTGAAGGAGCCTCAGAGATCTCGGAGAGGGCCTCAGACAGAATTCCGTGAGGGTGACTCGCGGCTGCAGGCGACACCACAGAACCTTCCGGAAAAGCAGCCCGACACACCCACCTCTCCTGCAGGCGTAGTTCATCATTCATTCTCGTCAGCTGTGCCAAGTTTTCCCCAGACATTTTCACGATGTCCGCGATGTCGTTTGACAACTTGGCCTTTGCCTTCGTCAACTGCTCTTCTCGCACATCTCCCTCTGTGAATTCAGCCTCCATATCTGAGGGGAGGGGAGGAGAGGAAGGGGGGAGGGAGGGAGGGAGGGAAGGAGTGAGAGGGACAGAGGGAGAGAGAAAGTCAGGGAGAGATGCGGGGGGGGGGGGGAGAACAGCTTTGGGGTGTCGTAGGCAACGAAGCGTCCCCTGCGCTTCTGTCCCAGGCCTCCCTCCGAGGACGTTTCACTCTCTGGCCCCTGCAAACTGCTCGAACCGAGCAGCAGCCAGTGAAACCAAGGACAACTCACAAGACGGGGAAGAAACGCAGGCAGCGAGCAAAGGATGGGGCCAGGACGGGGGTCCGACCGTACAAGGCGCCTCATAGATGGCCCTCAGGGGGGACCTTGGGCAGCATTTGACAGTCGTCCCAGGGCCGAGGTGGCCGGAGTGTCACAGGGCCCCAGGAACTGATGGGGGGGCGGGTGCGAGGGGCACTGGGACCTGCTGTGGGGGCTCCCTGAGGGAGGCCGGGAGGCTGAGGAGGGGGCGCGGGAGCGTCAGCAGGGAGGCGCCTCACGCCCGGGGTGCCCCTGCACGACACCCAGAGATCATCTCTTACCTGTTCAATTTCCTCGCAACTTCTCCAGTTCAGAAGACAGCGCCTTAAACTGTTCTTCTTGTTGATGTAACTTATCAACAGATTCTAGTTAGGATAAAGTTAGAAGTTTAATATATTTCACGCACCATCGGGATTATTTGAGAGTCTGTCTGGCAGGCTCCATCAAATCTCACACTGGCGTCTGAGGTCACCGGGGCGATAAAGCGTCTCTACGGGAGAAGCCCCCGGCCGAGGGCAACACCAGGAGGTTTTGGCATGGAGACGGCGGGTCTGGCGCCAGGAGGAACTCGGGGTCTTGGCTGGGGGCATCCCAAAATCTTCCCACCCAGCCAGCTCCCTGCCAGGTCACACAGCACTTTCCCAAGCACACCTGCATGTCACCACAAACAGTGATGTAGGGACTATGATGCCACCAGCAGGTCCACCTGTACCTGCGGGGAGATTGCATCAGCAGCCTGATGGTGCCTGCAGACTTCCAGATACCCCAAAATTGCTCCTGTGCCTTTGGTCAGACCCCAACAACTTGGGGTCAAGTTTACCAAGAAATTAAACGGACAAAAGTTCAGTATGTGGGAGACACACCCACAAACCGCTATATAAGCTATATAAGCTCATCTATTGGCCTTATTTCAGAGACCCATACATCTCAAAAGAGATCAAAAGATGCAGTTAGGGTCAGTGGCCCGGAGGTAAACGGGAACCCGTGACTGAGAGCTCCAGGCTTGCTCAGATCAGGACTGGGCCTCCTCCCGCCACATTCCCAGTTTTCCAGTAGCTTGGCAGTCACACCCACAAACTGCCCCCCAGCACCACGTAATCTCGTCAATGGCCAAGACCCAGAGACTATGCAGTACAGCTCCCGGAAGAGAATGACACAGATATTCCTGGTCATTATATTCTAGCCATAAGAAGCAATACGAAACAAATCATCTAGCATTGCCTTTTCAGCAGGTTTGAGTGCTGGTGGGACTGGTGTCAAAATATCGGATGTAACCAAAGTAGAGAGAGAGTATGGGGGAAATTGTGTGCCTGCCACACAGGCAGGGGAAGGGTTGGCAGAGGCGTGGGGCTGGTGGAATTCTGGGGATTTTGGTGGTGGAAAATGTGCACTGGTGATGGGACGGGTGTTTGATGATTGTGTGACCGAAACTCAAACATGAAAGCTTTGTAACTTATCTCACATGAATCAAAAAAAGGAGGGAAATATAATAATAATAAAATAATAAAATAAAATTAACATTCAGAACAGAATTTTAAAAAAATAAGTAATGTGAAGTTCATGCCCAATTAAATCAGCTTCATCCATGGCTGAATAATTAGTAGTACTCCTACATTGGGCTGGAGCGATAGCACAGTGGTAGGGCGTTTGCCTTGCATGGAGCCAACATGGCGGATCCGAGTTCGATTCCTGCGCCCCTCTTGGAGAGCTACCGAGAGTATCTCGCCTGCACGGCAGAGCCTGGCAAGCTCCCCGTGATGTGTTCAATATGCCAAACACAGTAACTCCTACATTATTAACAAAAAAAAAATTTTAAAAAAAACAATGTGTATGTGTGTGATGTGTGTGTGTGTGTGGGGGGGGGGGGGCTTTGTGCGCGTACATGCTACGCCCAGGGTACCTCCTGGCTCTACACTCAGGGATCAGCCTGCTGGTATCAGGGATGGATACCAGCTTGGCAGTGAGCAAGGCAAGTGCCTGGCCTGCTCGGGTCTCTGGGAATGAACTTTACGTCAAAGAGGAAAGAGCCGGAGGAAGTCAGCTGCGGGAAATGAGTGGGCAGAGCCCTGAGTGTGGGACCCCAGAGCTCCGGCCCTGGCACAGTCACCCGGTGGCCCGCACCCACCTTGCCTGTTTTTCTGAACAGAGGCTGACTCTTCTGAAGCCTCTGCGAACTTTTCTTTCTAGAGAAACAGAATCAGATATTCAGACCAGGAGGGTGCAAAGTAGCTTCCAATCAACGACATGGGAGACACTCCATTTTGTGATGCTGTTCATGAAAATGAACTTGCACTCCAAACGTAGATATTGGGGACTGAAGGGCTGGCACAGGGTCCAGGCGCCCGAGTACAGCCAGCCGGTTAGACCCTGAGCAGGAGTACCACCGAGTTAGCGGGGAGCCCCAATAAGCACGGTGAACATCTGGGGGCTGGGAGAGAGCACTGGGTAAGGCCACTTGGCCCTGCTTGAATCGCGCCACTAACAGGAATATCCTGAGCACAAAGCCAGGAGTCGCCTCCAAGGACTGACAGGCATGCCACTAGTCCCCCCCCACCACCACCAAATATATATATATATATATACATATATATACATTATATATATATGTATATCCCAGGGCCAGAGCGATCGCCCAGCGGGGAGGGTGTTTGTCTTGCACAAGGCTGACCCACCTTTGATCCCCAGCATCCCATAGGGGATGCACCGTCAGTAGTAATTCCTGAGTGCAGAGCCAGGAGTGACCCCTGAACATCCCCAACTGTGACAAAAAAAGACCAAAAACAACAAGAACAACAAGACCAAAAAAACCCAGAAAACAAAAATAATCCACCCCAAACTCAGCTACCAATGCCCATTGTGTATCTGCCTGGCAAACATGAGTGAGTTGTGCAAGTATGAATGTACTTGCTTGCATGTCCAAGGACATGTATGAGTCTGCACATGACAGAAGCCCATGTGTGTATACTGGGGTGTGTGCATGGCTGTGGACACACGTGTGTACACATGTTCTCGACCACACACAGATAGCATGTGATGCCGCTTGTGCTTGGCCCATGCTGCCCCAGCAAGGACGCTTCCCTTGGAATCCTCCCACAGGTTCTGAAAGGCTCCTAAGTGCTCAGTCCCGGGTCCTGACAGGATACGGTCAGCACTGTCTCAGCAGAAAGGCCCGGCTCACCCAGGCCCAGAGACAGAGTGACAGGACAGCGGGAAGGGCATTTGCCTTGCACGTGGCTGACCCAGGTTCAATCTCCAGATCCCATTGGGTCCCCGAAACTCCACCAGGAGTAATTCCTGTGTGCAGAGCTGGGAGTAACCTCTGAGCATCACCAGGTGTGACCCAAAAAGCCAAAAAAAAAATACCAAGAAAACAAAAACAACGAGATACTTTAGGTGTTTTGCTTTGTATGTATTCAACCCAGGTTCAATCCCCAGCATTCCACGTGGTCCCCTGAGGGCCACCAGGAATGATCCCTGAGTACAGAGCCAGGAGAAAGTCTCAGCACAGCTGAATACAAGAAAACCCAAGACACAAACCAAAAAAACAAATACAAACAAAAAAATCCTAAAAAGAAAACAAGAAAACACACTTTGATCCACCCCAGGAAGGTGTCTGGAAGGTTCCAGAAAAGCGGCTTTCCCAGCGCATGTCTCTCACCTCCCTCAACCTTGCTGTGAGCCCCCAGTGCTCCCGGCTGGCAGGGGAGACAGAGCTGAGGGGGCAGGGGGCGCTTCTGAGGGGAGCAAGGAGCCTGGCACTCTCAGAGCATCGCTGGCCGGTCACTGATCAGGCAGAGGAGGAGGGCACAGCGCGGACAGAGCAGCGCACCTACCTTTGCTGCCCCAACGGGGGCTCGCGCAGCCCCTGGGGCTTCCAGCTGACACGCTCGTGAGCCTCAGAGGCCACAGGGCCGAGCTCGCTTGAGGAGGCTTCGCTTTACCCTCAGCAAGGTAAAGATCAGCGTCCGACTCCCCTGGTACTCACCAAACTCCTAAGCTCTTTCTCCAAAGCCTCGTTCATTTGGCTGGCGGAGAGACGGTGCAAAGGGCTGGAGTACACACCAGGTCCGAGTTAGAACTGCAGCACCACTGAGCGAGCCTGAGATTGGTCCACAAGCTGAAAAGACCAGCTACTGCTGGGTGGGAGGACCCCAGAGGCGAGAGCATGGCTTGGCGAGGAAGAAGGAAGTAAGCAAGGGAGGAGGGAGGCTAAGGATACGAAGGAGGAAGGGAGGAAACAGGGAAGAAAGAGAAAGGGAGGGGAGGGAGGGAAGAAAAGGTTTATCTTTTTTTTTTTGGCCTGCTCGAGCTAATTGATGAACAACGGGAGGACAGTGACAATGACAGTGACCCTATGGGATGCTGGAGATCGAACTCACGTAGGCCGTGTGCAAGGCAAATGCCCTTCCCACTGTACTATCACTCTGGCCCCCAAGATTTACTTTCTTGTAGTTTCTTGTCTGTGACTTTAAAAGTTTGAGGGGTTTCAATATGAATTTAAAATGAAGAACCTCTAATCCACTAGGCAGCAGTCACCAGAACTTGACGTTTGTTACATCTTGATGCGAACAAGTGGCTCAACTATCCCCTGCTGTGTCCTAGGAATTGATTCCGTTTGTTTCAGCCGGTGTTTCTGGAATGCCAGTTAAGGAGTCCTGAGTCCTGAGAGGAACTCCCGGGGGTCTCTGGGTCCTTCTGTTATGTCTGTCAGTCCTGTCTACAAATCCCACAGCCCTTCCAACTTGGCCAACAGAGAACTTTCTCCAAGCCGGGGGGGAGGGGTCTGGGAGGGCGCGTCCCTGTCACCACCATCCTATAGGAGGAAAAGGGCACTTCTCAGGGCTCCTTGGTGAGAAATGCAGCTCGCTTGGCTTGGCCCAGAACTCACTCTCTTGTCCTTCCCCTGGGTCAGGGCTACTGATGTAGAAAAGTAGATAGGGAAAGGCCCTTTGCAATGAAACACAGTTTCATGGAAGAAGAATTCTAGGAAGGACCCACCTTGTGGATACAGAAAACAAAGGCCTGATAAGACCATCCGCAGACCCTCAGGACATAGGCCTCCCCATGAAATTCCTCTTTTTGGACCTCCCTGGTAATCTCCTTAGCAACCGGACTTTTACCCGGGAAGAAGCTTCACGTGGGGACAGGCTGGAGAAACCCTATAAAGGCCACCTGGAAGAAAGGCAGGGTGCGCACATGCTGCCTGAGCCCATGTGTGGTACGTCCACGTGGCTGAGCACATGTGTCGCCCGCATCTCCCCGCTTGAGATGTGTACTTTCATGCTTTTGTGTCGAATGCTGGGATGTGTGGAGGGGCTCTCTCCACCCTCGGAGAAGCCCGCGTTCTCTCTGGACGCGTTACTCTCTCTCTTACTCTCCATTCCCCCGCTTATCTGCTTATCCCTTTCTCTCCCTCTCCAAAAATCCTCCAAATAAAATCTATTTGTTTCACTGCTTGTCTACTCCTGAAATTCCTTTCTGTGAGGCGAGACAAGTACCCAGTAACCCTGGGTCCCGGGTGGCAGAGGAGGGTGGGGAGAAAGTGACCGTCTTTCTCCTCCCCGCTTCACATAAGTCACCCGTGGGGCTCACCGACATCACTACCATGAGAGTCCATGCCCGTGGCTAGCAGGAGGCCATGCTGGAAGGCGGACTTGGCCCAAGCACCCCTTAGACACTGAAAGGGATGAAATCTCTGCAGGGCTGGGCGGGGGCTTGTGCTGCAGGCAGGGAGGGGCGGGCAATGAGAAATACCAAGATGGGCCACGTCACCAGCCCTGAGGGAGCTCAGAGGTTCAGAGGCATTGAGCACCAGCTGGAAACTGAGGCGCCTCGGGGAGAGGACGGCAAAGCCAGTCACATGATCAGGTGGTCAGCAAGGCCAGGGAAAGACCCTCGCAGCCAGCCTCGAGCCCAAGGGTCTGGGCGGACTCGGCGAGTACGCAGGGGGTGGGGGGGTCGAGGTTTGCTTTGGGGGCTCCTATCTTGTTTTCTCACTGGCCTTGTGAAGAGTTCTCTGTTTCAGAAAGACCCCAGACGGGCCCGATTAGCTGGGGCCAAGGCTAGCACGACATCCGGGTGCTGGGGACCAATGACAGCCCCAGAATCGTGCCAACACGTTCTCAGTCCCATCAGAGGGAACCGCACAGGACGTGACCGGGAGACCTGTCAGCACCAAGCCAGAACACGGCGGCGAGCACACTGACACACAGCATGCAGGGAGCGAGCGTGGAAGTGGGCGAGGGCGCCCGGGTACCAACCTGCCACTCTCGGCCCGCTTTGCATTCTCTAACTCCTGAATCTGCCGCTCAGCCACCTGGAGCTGCTGCCTGAGCTTCTCCATTCCCAATTTACCTCGGAACTGGCCTTCCGGAGCCCATCGAGCTGCAAGAGCTTCTCCTGGGTGGCCTCCAGCTGCGCCGTGGCGTCGGCCAGGGCCTGGGCTTGCTGACTACACATGACCCGCAACGCCTCCAGGTGTTTTACCTTCGTCTCCGCCTCCTGCAGCTTGTTCAGGGCGTCCTCCATCTCCACCAGGTGCCGGTCCTCAGTCTGGTCGAGCTTGGCCCGCGCGGCCTCCAGGCTGTTCTTCTGCTCCTGGGCCATCCTGACCAGCCACGACCTGAGCGTCTGCAGCTCGGAGGCATGTGCCGCACGCTCAGCCGCCAGCTGGGCCTTCAGGCTCTCTACCTCCTGCTGGGACTTGAACTGCAGCCTCTCCATCTGCATCTTGAGCTCGGCCAGCTCGGCCGCCTCGGCACCCACGCCCCGGCTCACGAACGCCTTTGGCTCGCCCATGGCCTGTTGGTGCGGGGCGATGGCTGTCTCCAGCTTGGACTTCCACAGGGCGATCACGTCCGTGTTCTCCTCGTTGGCATGGTCCAGCTTGGTCCTCAGCCACTCATTCTCCTTGGCGAGCTTCTCGGAGGCCACCTGCAGGGCCTTCGCCTCCTTCTGGTGGGAAAACAAAATTTCCATGAACTTAAAACAGGAAGGAAAAGAAGCAGACATAGAAATTTTTCTTTTGCAAACTGCTTTGGTAGGGTCCGAGCTCAGGACAGCCTCACCTGTCAAGGAAAACTCTGAGAGACCAAGTCCACGCAAAAGCAAGAGGTTTATTCGAGCATTCTCGGGCTCACAGCATGACCGCAAACCGTCAGTGGCTGAGAGCCCTGAGCCTCTT